TTTAACAACTGCAGAATTTTGTCCTGTGTCTTGCTTTAATTTACTATTTAAGCACCAAACCTGCTCTCAGAGGTTGCCACAGCGATCCTGGCCCAGATCCTGCCCTCTATTAAGGCAACTTTGTACCACTCTAGTGGCACTAAAGCACTGAAACTGGGCACTGAAGATTCCTTTTGCATATGAGAATTCCCCAGGAAGCATAAAGCCGCTATAGCAGCTCCTTCATTTCCCCCCAGTTACCAGTTTAGGAGGCATGGCCAGGGATCCCTTCCATTCCTGTGGCTCTGTGGGCATCCAGAGTAAATTTATGCCAGGGATCCAGCCAATGCCAGGACACCCCTAGGCTCAGAGGACCAAAGAAGTGACTTGAAGCCACATTTGCACACTCTCCCCTTACCCCGAGCTGTGCCTGTGAGAGCTGAGTCGTTCAGAGCGTGTTTCACCTGCAGCAGCTGAGGATCTGGGGCAGCGTCGGTAGCTGAACTGTTCTTTTTCCCAGGTGAAATATTTTGGATCAATTATTAACAACTAGTGTCTATGTAAAGAAATTCTATCTACATTCCTTTAGGGCCTGACTGCTCTTAAGCTGTATTTCATGCCCTGTGGTTATTTCATTTGGCACAAGCTTTAACAATTTTTGTAGTATCTGTTCTCTTTAGAGTTTTGTGTACATTGATATACATTATAGACACTGATGAAGTAACATCAAAGGGTCCGAGCCTGCTCTGATTAAAGGCAATGGCAAAACTCTCATTGGTTTAATAGACTGTAGGCTGAGTTTGTTTCGCTTTTCTGAATAGCTGCTGTCTCTGTGATGATAAATCATTTCACCTGTCTTCTAATACACCTTTTCACTGTAAGTCCAGCCTTTTCCAACTGAAGTCAATGGAGCTCCTAAAGGTTATGACTATGTTATGCCCACTGCCCTCATCAAGACATGCAGCACCAGGCATGGCTCCCTTCTGTACCTTTAACTCTCTAAACACACCCTACAGGGGGAGGGATCCCTTTAAGGCGCTCTGGCCTTTTGTCTTTTAAATACGGCAAATGAATGTGGTAGAGAATAGTTGTGGTAGCTAACATGTGTTTGTAAATACAATAATATGTGCAATTGTAACTATAATAACTCAGATGTTTGGAATATATGTGAAAATATTTTCATTTCAAATTAGATCTGTAATAGAAATTATGTTTAAAAACAGTGGGCCTGATTCTGACCTCACACACTGGCTTTAAGCCAGTACCACCCCAATTATTCCAGGTCTCCCCTGCAGACAGTAAGATGTGAATCATGAGGCTGTTTGTACTGTTTAATGAAAACCTGTGCCTTTCCTACTGTGCAAAGCCACATGTCCCTGTTGGGTTTACATAGTGGTGTAAATTGGAAATGACTCTATTAAGCCAGCGGTGTCAGTAAACCTGTGTGAATGAGATCAGAACTAGATGCATAGGATTTGTCAGTAATGAGTTAATTAAATGTAATAGCCCAACTGTTTCTGGTACCTTAATTAAGCAAAAATAATCAGAGCCGTTGTCTTTTATACTTGGTGAATGGCACATTAACAGATTTGAATCAGCATTCACCAAGAAATTTGAACACTTTAAGATAGGGACTAAATGTATCATTTTACTAGCTGCTGAATATATTGAGTTCCAGATAGTTAATTCTAGTAGCGAGAAGGATCTAGGGCTGGAATGGGGGTGAGGGGCAAATGAAGCGCTAGGAAGATTGGTGGTTAAATATTGTCCAAAACATTTCTCTATTGCAGTAAAGGAAAGAAAAGCAAACAAATCACTGGCATATGTAAATGTATCAGGCCAGAGTCTGCCACCTTTATTGACAATAAGTAGTATCTTACTCTATGACTGGTCTCATTGGCTGCAATGGGGCTACTCCCAGAATAAGCTACTACTTAATTTACCCATGGCAGAATCTGACAGGATCACAGTGGTAGTTACATGCAAAAGATGTATTAAATCATCCAGGCCACATCCCATAAAGTGCAGGATTTACCCCCCTGGGGTTAAATATATCAGACCTTAAACTGATACTATGCTGATCTTAGAACAATTTGGTTTGGAAGGAACTTCTGGTGGGTAATTTAGCCCATCTCCATGCATCATAGAAGAAGAATGAAACTATTAATTAAAAATCCCTGGCAGAAGCGTGTCTAATCTAACTATTGGCATGTCTGCCACCCGTCTTGTCTGCTTCTTTGATTGCTTAACTGTCCTTTATAAACATTTTGCTAAGAGTTCACCTAGCTTTTTCCCTGCTACAGCTGTAAGCCTGTTCCTACTTGTTCTGTCCTTGTTGACTTGTGGAAATAATTGATCCCTTGTCATAGAAAATTATCCTAGCATTGTATAAGGGACTAAGTGAGGCCACATTTGGAATATTGTTCACAGTCCCAGTCACCTTATTATAAAAATGATAGGATGCAAATAGAGAGGACAGCCCAAATGATACAGGAACTTAATTATTCAAGAAGGATTCGAAAAGTTACTGTGTAGCGGCAGTGTTTGGAAAACAGGAGATTAAAGGGCCATTTTAGTGAGGTATACACAACGCTGAAGGGAATACAGGGGATTCATATATACAAGGGGATCTGAGCTAGTGACAAATACCAAAACAAAAGAGAAATTAACTGAACACTGTCATTAGGAAGGGCTGATCAGCAAAGCAATTTAAGCAGAATGTATTTAGTTACTTAATATTTGGATAAAACTACTGGGACAGCAATGGGAACAACTATTGGAAATAGATTTTACCAGGCTTCAGATGAGTATGTGGAGCTAAAATAATATTGTGGGATACAACTATTAACTCAAAGGAGGGGAAAGGAACCTAGATGAACTTGGTGATCTCCTTTCTTAAAATGTTTTTCTGGACATTCCTAGATAATGGACCTGGTTCCTGTAATTTTGTGTCCCTCTTTAATTATCTGTACAATTTTTTTTACAGGTTTTCTGTTAAACCTATATCCCTGGCAGCTTTACATACTGAGATGTGGAGAGATAAGGGGATACTCTGAGGGCAAGGGCCCCGATACTGATCTCAGATATAGCACTATAAATCCAGAGTAACTCCAGTGAAGACACTAGGTTTATTCACGATTCCTACTGGTGTAATGGGGATAAGAATCTGGGCCATAAGCATATGCATTCCAGTTTGAAAGGTCTTAATTCCCCCTCTCTTTAAATTGCAATAAAAGCTCCTAGAAGGACTCTGAGTTCTTTTGGGGGCAACTGTAATAAGTGTACATGCCATCATTTGCACATGATGCCTAAGGACTGTTGACTTTAAGCCCTAAATGACTCGCTTCCTTTGACCTACAAGTTTTACTATTCTTTCAGAACAAAAGAGTCTGCCCTTAACAGTGCTGAAACCAAAGTAAATTGATTTTTTTCAGCACCAAGAAATTGGGACAGGCTGAAATCTAGCCCTTAGGAAATCTATGTAACAATAAAACAACCCCCTTACTTTCTCTTCCAGCTGCGGGATGGGTGCCCAACAGACTCACATTAGATACGTGGATAGCATCATAACTTATTGCCCAGAGGCAAGAGCCCCATAGACTTTTAATGATGCAAGAGCTCTCTGGACAACACTGTCATTCAGTCAGAAAAGCAAAAGGAAATAATGGCAATTTGTAGAAAGGGGGATGACCCAGGTGATAGGCATTGAGTCAATTTAGGCATCTTCCCTAATGCCTTTCTGAATTGAAATCGTAATTTGGGAAATTACTATCATATTTACCATAAAATCGTCTCTGTGTCATTTGTTTCTTCACTGGGCACTTCTGTCACCTTTTAGACTCTTAAGGAAATTGATATGGGGGTAGCTACATCAGTATAATTACACTGGGGCAAACCCTTAATGTAAATGTATTGTTGCTGAATTAAGCTCAGTGAACTCCACTTTGCATTGATCCAGTGGTTCTCAACCAGATGCATGCATAGCCCTGGGGATACACAGAGGTCTTCCAGGGGGCACATCAACACATCTAGGTATTTGCTTAGTTTTAACACAGGCCACATAAAAAGCACTAGCAAAGTCAGTACAAACTAAAATTTCCTACAATGACTTGTTTATACTGTGCAATATACTATACACGGAAATGTAAGTACAATAGTTATAGTCCAACTGATTTATTTTATAATTATATGGTAAAAATGAGAAAGTAAGCAATTTTTCAGCAATAGTGTGCTGTGACAGTTTTGTATTTTTATATCTGATTTTGTAAGCAAGTAGTTTTTAAAAGAGGTGAGACTTGGTACGCAAGAGAAATCAGACTCCTGAAAGGGATACAGAAGTCTGGAAAGGTTGAGAGCCACTGCACTGACCTGTACAGTGCATCCAACAGCTGTTCACTCCAGTGTAATTACTATAGTGAATTTCCTTTAATGTGAACAGGTCTTTAGTCTCATCTTCTGGACAGGAGCATTGTCTTGGTGGATCCATTAATATTGTCTTTTTTATAGCAACTCTTTATAAAACCAAGTGGTTTGTTTTTCAAGTTTGACAAATGAATGGGGTAGAATGCAGTTACAGCCATGACTTAATATCTTTTGTTCTGTGGTTATAATTATGTGTTTAGTTGAAATTTAAAAAAAATTGGAAGATATTTGAAAATTTCATCAATTCAAATTATGGGCAAGATCCTCAGAGGATGTAAATTGACATACCTCCCTTGAAGTCAGTGCTGATTGAGCCTAGCTGGAGTTCTGGTCCTTCATCTCTCAAAGGAAATATATAAATAATGTTACACCTGATTCTGATCCCCCATCATTGTAAATCCATTGACTGGAGTTACACCTGTTTTACACCAGTGTAAATAAGGTCAGAATCAAGGCCAGTGTTTGAGTTTTATATTTTTTTGTTTTCCTGCTGGGCAAAATCAAATATACATATTAGGGCTGTTTCTGATCTCACATGGTGTAAAAAAAGAAGTAACTCTGGAAGACAAAATCTGTGTGAGAACAGAACCAGGTGCCTAGAAGTTGTGGGGAATGAGAATAGTTAATGTAATAGCTCAACAGTTTCTAGTAGCTCTATTAAGTAGAAAATAATCAGTACCATTGTCTTTGATATTTTGTGAATGGAAATAGTGTTATATCTCCCATGAATGTCAACAGTTTTGAATCGGTATTCAGAAGGCAGTTTGAACACTTTGTCATACCAAACTTATCATATTTTATTAGCTGCTGAATATATTGAGTTCCAGATACTTAATTCTGGTAGTGAGGAGCATCTAGGGCTGTGATGTGGGGGAGAATGGCTAACAAAACTTTAGAAAGATCTGGGGAAAACATTTATAGAAAACTCTAAAATCCTGGTGAATAGCCGCAAAGGAAAGAACCAAGGAAAGAGATCACTGGGATGCATAAAGGTATTGAATATAAGATTGTAATTTAAGTTAATGACGGGAAAAGCCCTATTCAGTGATCCAGTTCATATCCAAGCAAACACAGGATTTAGTCTAAGGGGAGCCCGACTTCACCACTAGAGAGTATAATTGATTTCAGTCTTCATTCTGAACTCAGCAGCTCAACTCTGTCTCGGCGGGGAGAGAAATCACAGCGTAGCAAACACTGAGCGCAAGTCACCTTGGCCGGGACATTATGGGCTCAGCAAGCAGGTGTGAGCAGCACCACGCAGCGGGCAGGCTTCTTGTGTAAGGTGGCTTCCCATCCCCGCTGTGGATCGTCGCCCGCTGCTCATTCTGCAGGGAGGATGGAGTCGCCGGCTTGAAAAGCCTCTCCCCGTCCCTTCCTGGGGACCGCGCCGGAGCGGATAAAACCTCCTGGTGCAGACCAGCGTGGGGTGGGCTCGTGGCGATGGTGGCTGCCCGCTGAGCGGGCCCGGGGGCCCTTGTTCCCGGCCGGGCTGAGCTGAACACTTGGGGGAAAGTTACCTGTTTCGCCTGTGCCCTGGGAGCTGCTCCGCCGCTCCGCTCGCTCGTGAGTTACAGCTGGCGCCTGGCACTGCCCGCTGGGAGGGGGGATCCCCGGGGGCGGAGGCTGCTGTTGGGGGCATAGGAGGGAGGGGGATGGGAGCTAGTGACCCCGCGCCTGCCCGGTGCAAGGCTGGGTGGCCCCGTCCAGCGGGAGAGCCCGGGGCGGGCTGGCAGGTGCCCCGCAGCAGGCTCCGGCCGGGCGATGCCAAGAGTCGCGGTGGCAGCCTGGGGAAGCGGAGCCCGAGTGAGGCTGAGTGGGGCCCCGCTAGAGGGGAGCCGGGGGCGGGCGGCGGGGTAGGAGGGGGGGGCGCAGCCGCTTTGCCCCAGGCCGGGGGCTGATCCGCTTCTCTGCCCTCCCCGCAGGGAGGCTTCGCCACTGAGTCACCATTACCTCGCCCAGCAAGGAGGAGCTGGTCGCGCTCGCTGCCCGGCTCTGGCACCGGAGGAAGCGGCTGCTGGCCGCGGCCGGGCTGGCCCTCGCCATGGGACTCGCGCTGCTCATCGCCGTCCCGCTGCTGCTGCAGGCGGCCCCCGAGAGCGCGGCGCACTACGAGATGATGGGCACCTGCCGCATGATCTGCGACCCCTATAGCAGCGCCAGCGCCCGGGCCGGCGGCCCCAGCAGCGCGGCCGCCGTGGAGGCGCTGCAGGACCTGAGCGCCAACCCCCCGCCGCCCTTCCTCCCGGGACCCAAGGGGGAGCCCGGCCGGCCGGGCAAGCCGGGGCCCCGGGGCCCGCCAGGGGAGCCGGGGCCCCCCGGTCCCAGGGGGCCGCCCGGAGAGCGGGGAGACTCGGGCAAGCCGGGGCTGCCGGGGCTGGCGGTGGCCGGGGCCGGCGCCCCCGGGGCTGCAGGGGGCGGCGGCCCCGGGGCGGGCGCCGCCGGGGAGGTGAGCGGGGCGCTGAGCGCGGCCTTCAGCGGCCCCCGGATCGCCTTCTACGTGGGGCTGAAGAGCCCCCACGAGGGCTACGAGGTGCTCAAGTTCGACGACGTGGTGACCAACCTGGGCAACCACTACGAGCCGGCCACGGGCAAGTTCAGCTGCCAGGTGCGGGGCATCTACTTCTTCACCTACCACATCCTCATGCGCGGCGGGGACGGCACCAGCATGTGGGCGGATCTCTGCAAGAACGGCCAGGTGGGTCCTGGGGGCTGGCCCGGATCCCCCCCCAGCCCGGGTCGGGACCCCCCCTTCCATCACCCGGGCCCCTGGGGACCCCCCTTCCACTGCCTCGGGCCCCTCGGAATCCCTCCTTCCAGCACCCAGAGCCAGGACCCCCCTTCCACCGCCCCGGGCCCCTGGGGACCCCCCTTCCACTGCTCCAGGCCCCTCGGAATCCCTCCTTCTACCTCCCCGGGCCGGGACCCACCCCTTCCACCGCCCCGGGCCTCTCGGGATCCCCCCTTCCACCACCCCGAACCGGGACCCCCCTTCCACTGCCCCGGGCCCCTCGAGATCCCTCCTTCCACCGCCCCGGGCCGGGATCCCCCCTTCTACCGCTCCCCAACCGGGACCCCCCTTCCACTGCCCTGGGGCCCTCGGGACCCGGCGGGGCCCCCCTTGCACTGTCCCGGGCCAGGACGCCCCTTCCACGGCCTGGGACCCTCGGGATCCCTCCTTCCACTGCCCTGGATCGGGACCCCCCCCTTCCGTCACCCCGAGCTGGGACCTTCAGCCCTGTCCCCTGCCTGGGACCTTCTGTCTTTACAGGGACCCTCCTGATTCAAACTGGAAAAACCCTGTATCTGAGGGAAACTACGTTAAGCCAGGGAGTGCGGCAGCACCCTAGTGCCAGCACCTATGTCCTCACTCCAGTGCCCCTTGTCCTCTAGGCCCAGGACACCCGTACCCCATGTGCCTGTGACCCTTCCCCCCACGCCACTCTGGGACCCTCATCCCTCCCCCCTCCGCCTGGGGCCAGCACCCTCCGCCTTTACTGGAACCACCTCCCCCCGCCACCGCCATGGGCTGGGACCCTCAGCATTTACCAGGACCCTCAGCCCTGAGCTGGGACCCTTATTCCCCCCACCTCATGCTCTGGACCCTCACTCCCTTGTGCCCCCACCCTCTGAGCCCAGGACACCGCAACCCCATGCTCCTGGTACCCTCACCTCTCCCCACGCCGTCCCCTACCCCTCCATACCCAGGACTCTCAGCCCTGTGCCTGGGATCCTCTGCTTTGGGTTGGGCTGGGACCCTCCCCGCATGCTCCTCACCTCCCCCATGCTCCTCACCCCATGTGCCTGGGATACCAGCACCCTTGTATGCCCAGGATCCTCCCCTTCCCCCTGTGCTGGGACCCTCCTCCCCTGTGCCCAGGCCCTTCACTCCCTGTGCTGGGACTCTAACCTCACCCCTGTTCCCGTGACCCTCACCCCATGCCTGTGACAATGGCATCTCCACACCCCCTATTCCCAGGACTCTGACCCGTCTGTGCCTGGGACTCTCAGCACCTGAGCCCTGGACTCTCACCTCATGCCTGGGACACTGGCCCAGTCATATGCTGTGTCTGGGAACCTCAGTCTGTGCCAGGGTCCCTCACCCTCCTGTGGCTGGAACACCAGCACCCTCATCCCCCCGTTCCTGGGACCCTCCCCACCCTGAGCCCTGGACACCAGCACTCTGACCCACTGGGCCTGGGATCCTCACCCCCCACCTGGGTACCTATAGCACTTAGGAACATTCTTGTGCCCTGGCACCTTACTCCCGGGCTACTTGTCTCCCCATTGTGCCCGCGATGCCCTCCTGAGTGTGATCTTTATAAGTGCTGAGAGTTGGATACCCCTTTCCTGTGCCACTTTGTCAAGGGCAGCCAGCCTCCCTGTGCCCAGGACCCTACTCCCACCCTCCCAGTGCAGGACACCCTGCCCCGATCCTGTGCCCTGTGCTCACGACATCCTCCTAAGGGGATGGCATCACCATATGGGCAGAAACCTGTGAGACTGCCATCCTGTCCCTGGCTCCCTGTGCCCCGGCATTTCTGTCCCCGCCTGTGTGCTTGGGAACCTCTGCTCAGTGCATGTTGACAGATTGCCCCATCGCGCTATCTCGTGGCCTCTCCTGGCTCTCGGACTCCCTCTCTCCTGGATACTTCCCTCTTGTGTGTGTGACTCTTTTCCCTGCCCTGGGTCCCTCCCTCTTTGCCTGGAACCCCACTGGCTCCAGGACAGTTTCAGAGAGCCTTCCACACTGGCTCCTGGGATCTGGGGTACAGGGGACCGGACCTTTTCATTACCCCCTCCCTTCCTTAAATGTAGTGATTTTCCACTTCTGAGAACAGACTTTTCTTTCCTGCCCTGACTTTCCTCTGTGTCAGCCTGGGCAAGGCCGCCCCTCCCCACCCTCCAGGATCCTCCAGGTGACAAGTTACCTTACCGGGGACAGTTACCCTACACTTTAGAAACTCCGCTACCTGGAACAAGGGGGAATGAGATTGAGACGTGCAGGAAACTTTTCCCAGCTGCACGCTGTCTAGTGAATGGCCTGTCTGGCAGGCAGGCTGTGCCAAGGCGAGCTCTCGGTGTGCCTGCCGTGGGGAGGGGGCTGAATGTGCAGAAGTGAGTGAAAGGAAAGTGTATGTGTGTGTGTGTGGGGGGGGGGGAAGTGGTCTGGGAAGTGGAAGAGGAGGAGGAAATAAATATGTGTCAAGGAGAAGGGCCCCGGAGGAAAGGGAAGATGAAGAGGGACAGAGTAGTTGGGGGCTAAAGGGGGTGAAGGAGGGAAAGGAGAAGATGGGGTTTTAAATGAGGAGAGGCTGGTGGGAGGGTTAAAGAGGGGGAGGAGGAAAAAAGGTGACGAAGGCTGACGGTGGGTTAAAGAGGCGAAGTGGGGGAAGGAGGTAGGTTAGAGGGGAAATAGGTACAAAGAGGTAAGGAGGCTGTTGGTGGCTAGAGAGGGAAAGGGGCAAAGAGGGGAAGGGGTTAGCTGGCCTTGAAAGAGTGCGAGCGAGAGGGGGAAGGAGAGAGGCAGGTGTGGAGGATTTGGGGGTAGGGGGGCGATGTGGGGGGCGAGCGGGGGCAGCGCCTGAGGCCCCCCCCCCCGTTGGCTGGTTCGCAGGTGCGGGCCAGTGCCATTGCGCAGGACGCCGATCAGAACTACGACTATGCCAGCAACAGCGCGGTGCTGCACCTGGAGTCGGGGGACGAGGTGTACGTCAAGCTGGACGGCGGCAAAGCACACGGCGGCAACAACAATAAGTACAGCACTTTCTCTGGCTTTCTTTTATACCCCGATTAAAAGGGGGGCCGGTTGCATTGTACCCACCTCCCCCGCCACTGTCTCTACGGGTCAGTTTCGCGTCCTTCTCCATTTGTACATCTGATCGGTGGACACAAAACAAGCGAGCCCCCACCCCAGCCCTTGGTGTATCTCTGTCCTTGTGTTTGTTACACAATGAGATCAGCTGCTTGAAACTGACCAGCACCTTGGTTCCATGAGTGTATAAAAGATTCCAGGGTAAACCTGTCACACTACGTTAGAACTGCTCAGTCTTGGCACATTTTGCTTTATTACTATCATCTTGATTGATTGATTGATTGATCTGAAGAGTGGGACTGAATTATAACATGCATTGGTTCTTCGTACGCCGTTTGTTTGTTTGTATGGGGTCAAGTGTAACTTTCTTCTTTCCTTTTCCATGCAATGCAATACTCGTGTGAATGATGATGTAGTGAACGTCAAGTCTCTGTTCCTGTCTGGCAAACAATCTAACCACCACCACCAAAAAAATCATATTAAATTATGTTTTTAGACAATGGTTTCTCGCTGTGTGTCTGTTCCAAAGCTGCAAAGGGCGATAGGTGGTGGGGGCAGTTGTGGGCACTTTAACCTTTCACGTCTGCAGCAGAATTGAAAGTTAGTAAGAGAGCCCCTACTCCAGTCTCAGTTAGTGTTAATAGAGGGGGTGGGGGGGGGGATCTGATCTTTTGCGTAGTTTTAAAAGGAGAAAGTACACATTGTCATCCAAATTTTATATCTTCGGATAGCTCAGTGGTTTGAGCATTGGCCTGCTAAACCCAGGGTTGTAAGTTCAATCCTTGAGGGGGCCATTTAGGGATCTGGGGCAAAAATTGGGGATTGGTCCTGCTTTGAGCAGGGGGTTGGACTAGATGACCTCCTGAGGTCCCTTCCCACCCTGATCTTCTATGATTCTACATTTCACAATAGGAGCTCTAGGACAACATTCACTGCTGACATATACAGTGTGCCTCCTTTACCAATCCTTGAGGGGGCCATTTAGGGATCTGAGGCAAAAATTGGGGATTGGTCCTGCTTTGAGCAGGGGGTTGGACTAGATGACCTCCTGAGGTCCCTTCCAACCCTGATGTTCTATGATTCTAAAGGGAATGGAATCCATTCACAACAGATTTTACATGGTTTATGGGCCTAATCCAAAGCCCGTTAAAGTAAGTGGAAAAGCTCCCATTGACTTCAGTATGCTTTGGATCAGACTCTATATCAATGATTGCATGAAATTGTCTATTTATAGTATGATTGACCCAAGTAATAAAGCATTAAAGGAAGAATTGTGTTTGTATTATAAAGAGATACATGATGGGTAAGGTAATATCTTTTATTGGACCAACTTCTGTTGGTGAGAGAGACGAGCTCAGGTCTGGGAAAAGGAACTCCCAGCGTCACGACAAAATGCAAGTGGAACAGATTGTTTAGCATAATTAGTTAGCACATCTTGAAAAGCAGTGGCTCTCAACCTTTCCAGACTACTGTAGCCCTTTGAACAGTTTGATTTTTCTTGTGTGCCCCAAGTTTCACCTCACTTAAAAACTCAGCTTCAGCTTTCTGCCCTGGGCCCTAGCAAACCTAACACTGGCCCTGGCTACCCCATTAAAATGAACTTGCCCACAGTTTGAGAACAGCTGATATAGTATGCAGAACAGTATAAATAAGTAATTGTCTGTATGAAATTTTAGTTAGTACTGACTTCACTAGTGCTTTGTATGTAGCCTGTAGTAGAACTAGGCAAATATCTCGATGCGTTGATGTACCCCCAGGGAGACATGTACCCCTGCTTGAGAGAACCACCATTGTACGTACACACATACACACAAAATTTCAGGCATACATTGAAATAAGGAGGATCCAAGCCCTGCTGAAGTCAATGGCAATCTTTCCACTGACTTCCGTGGGCTTTAGATCAGGCCCATAATCCATGTAAAAATCTATTGTGTGCTCTTTTTTGCTTCTCCTTCTCTCCCTGTTACATCTGAGTGACTGTACATTCTCCATTGAAAACTAAACACATGGATAGAATCTCACATACAATCCTGGCCTTTCTTGTGGGTGTGACTCATGACAGATGCTCAACTGGTGTAAATTGGGGTTGTTCTCTTGAAGCCAAGGGAAGTAGGTTGTTTTGCAGCAGCTGAGTTTCTGGCCCTCTCTCTTTCTTTTATTGACTCACATTCCATTGTGTCAGGGCCTGATTCTCCCCTTACTTTATGATGATTTTATACAGCAGAGTTCCCTGGACTTCCATTGACTTACTCCCAGTTTATACTAAAGCGAGAGAAGAATCAGTCTCTGAGGCTCCCATTGTGATCAAGTTCATCCCAGCTCTAACTCCACTGAAGCTAATGGAATCACCGCTAGTGTGAATTTGTTCCAGCAACAGGCTCTTAAAGGCTATTCTGTCCCCTGTTTGGTCCGCAGTGTATATTGCCTCTTTACTGACTGGGGGAGAAGGGGGAAATGCAGCCCTGGTGTAAGACAGAGTGTTCCTCCCCTCATTGCACCTCAAAATACCCCTCCTGCTGAGGAGGGAGGAAGAGTACATAACCAGGTACATGTGTTATACTCTTACCAATCTCTAATGCCTTGTCGATTGTATCATCTAGAATATGATTTAAACCAATGTCTGAGACCCAAATGAAGTATAATTGCTATGGATCCTCAATCCCCACTGGATCCTTAATCCTTTTTGACTATTCCTCCCTTCCCTCTGATGTGATGGAGCTTAGACACAAAGCCCTCTGTTTAAATTTCAAAAATTAAAATTGACATTCAGCAGCATTACCAGGTGCCAAGAGGAATTCTAAGGAGGTGCCGGGGCTCTGCTTTATCCTTTGCATTAAGAAGCAATTTGTACTTCTAACAAAGACCCAACTGTTCCCCCTTGGCTAAAGGGCAATGAAGATGCCTTGCAAGGGAATTGCTGTTCACAATACTTAAACAAATTTGAATCTTAGATTCTAAAATCTGTATTCCCTGGTGGAGCTTGCTCCTTGCAATTCAAATGCAGAGCTGGCGGTGAGTGCCTGCCAAGGTGTCAGCAACTAAGGGGATGATGGATTGATGAGGCAATAGAAAGACACCGGCTCGCAGTGGCATGCTGCCCCGACAGTGATCTATGTATCTGCACATTATCAATGTCAGGAGAAGGCTTGAACCACCCTCACCAGACATCTGATTTTCCACTTATCTCCCATGTACTAATTATCAGGCTGGATTACTCCCTGGGATGGCATCGAAAATGCTTATTGCCATTCCAGTGACAGTTTACACAATCGATACAATGAATGTCTCCCTCTGTTCCTCTCGGCCGTTTTATTTTCCTCTCTTCGTTGGAAAGCCCTCTGCGATTGCTTTCGGAAGGACTTGCATGGCAATTGCTTGACATCTGCTGTCGTGGCAATTGTGCACAGCATTCTAGTCTATTCAGGTTCTGAGACCATCCCTGTGGTATCCAAGCCCTGGGCTTTGTGCCTCCTAAGTAACTGCACTGAGACCGGGAAAGTAATCTAGAGTTGAAAAAGTTAGCTTGGTGCTTGCTTACAGATAGTACCACTGCCTAAATGACAACAGGAATGGCAGAGCCGGCAAACTTCTGGCTGCTTGGTGGATCTTCTGATTTGTGTGGCTTGCAGCACGAGCAGAACTGCCAGTTCCAGGGGGGAGGGGAAAGGCAAAGCAGTCAGTTCACAACCTCTGTGGTCCTGTAACTGGTCTGGGCGGCCCATGAGTTTCCTACTCAGCTCAGAACCTGGGAAACTCCAAGCTGTCACATATGGTCAATACACTTGGTACGGTAGGCACCCAAATCCATGAGTTTGAGGAGGAAGAGAGGAAGGATGGGCCAGTGGTTAGGATACTCAATGGGGTTCAGTTCCCCACTCTGCCACAGATTTCCTATGTGGCCTTGGGCAACTCACGTCTTGTCTGTGTGCCTCAGTTCCCCATCTGTAAAAAGGGGATAACAGCCCTTCCCTACTTCACAGGGGTGTTTGTGAGGATAAATACATTTCAGATTGTGAGGTTCTATGGGAATGGTGGCCCTGTAAGTACCTAAGAGAGGTGGGAGCTGTGGGAGCTCAGCACTTCAGAAACATCACACCTCTTTTAGTCAAATGCCTAACTTCAAATCCTCAAGTTCAAAACATTTGGCCTGTGTCCTGACTGTGGAGTGCTCAGCCCCTCTCAGGATCAGGCCTATGATTAGTGCCTGGGCTGGCTCTGGTCATATTGGCTTTGCAGGGAAGGGAGTGTGTAAGATGGTCCTACTTCTCCTTTTGCCTTTAGCTATTACGCTGACTAGCTTTACACATGTTTTATTGATCCGACCGCTGCTGAGAACCCTTGCATTTTTGAATCTCACTTTTAACATTTTACGTGGTGATTTTAATGCTTGTTTGTCCCCTTGTACACAGGAGCGGACCCTAATGCCCAAGATGGGTTTATCTGTGAAGTGCAATAAAAACAAATCAGGGAGGTTGGTTTTGGTGAATATTCATTCTGTGGCTTCTGTTTATTCCATAGAATAAAAATGTCCCCAAACATTTAGGCACCCTTTGAAGACAGGGAGAATAGCACGTAGGTCTGTTTTTAAGTTTACGCCATATATTTTTAATAACTTTTATAACAGGGGGTGATGGTTACCTTCTTCTAATCGGACTGAACTCTGGGAAAGTTCTGATCCAGATCTAGACCTTGTGTCTCAGGACTGTCTCTGTCTCTTCTCATTAGCTGGAATGCTTGAGCCAGTTAGGATAAAATAAAGATTGACTTGAATCTTCATCCCAAACTTGAATCAAACCAGACCCAAACCTCTGAGATTCAAAACAGTTTGGTTACTTTATTTTGTTTTGGTTTTGGTGAGCTTTTGCATTACCTAGCTGGAGCTGGTACTGGAAATGTAAATAACAGAATAGGGCAAGATAAATTAGGAATTTCCCATCCAGCTGATGCACAGGAATTCACATGAGAGAGCCTGTTCTTAGGAGATTTCACACCTGATGACAAAAAGAGGTTCATCTAATAATACAGTTGAATAAACCTGCCAACTTTAGCATGTTTCTCCAAACCTAGCCTCTGAAGGTCACTCCCAGGACTCAGTTAATAACATGAAATATGTAGATATCCAGCAGAGCATTTGTGGGGTGGGTACGTCAGAATGTTGTTGCACAATTTTGGAGGAATTTCTAACATGGGGGTCTCTTTTCTCAGTGAGGCATGGGGATCTACGCCAATACCCCACACTTACATTTCAAACTCGCTGGGGCTTTGAAATGGCAGTTTGTGCTGGAGCATGATCTGCAACTAAGCCCGGGAACAACTTTGAATGAAACGTGATCAAAATTAGCTCAGGAACCCAGTCAATATTAGGCCAGCCCAGGGATGCTACCTGGATGGTTCCAGTCTCTTTGTTAGTATGGAGGGGTTCAGGTTCTAAGGAATGGGGAAGGACAATGTGTTTAACACACAAAGCAGAATCATTCGCCTTCGCCTTTGGACTCCAACA